TCAAGCCTGTAATCCCAGCACTTTGGGAGGCCCAGACGGGCGAATCACGAGGTCAGGAGATCGAGACCATCCTGGCTAACATGGTGAAACCCCGTCTCTACTAAAAATACAAAACATTAGCCAGGCGTGGTGGTGGGCGCCTGTAGTCCCAGCTACTCAGGAGGCTGAGGCAGGAGAATGGCGTGAACCTGGGAGGTGGAGCTTGCAGTGAGCCAAGATCTTGCCACTGCACTCCAGCCTGGGCAACAGAGCAACATTCTGTCTCAAAAAAAAAAAAAAAAAAAAAAAAATTTGCTGTGAGATTTATGCTGGGTCACTTACTTGATCCTCATAGCTATGCTATGAAGTTGTGAAATTATTTTATCATGGCTGAATCTCTGTGGTTTACATTTATTAATTCAGTTCTACCAGCTGTAATGTAAAGGTGAAAATCTGATGAGACGATTTTAGCTGTAAAAATGTGTAGTTTGAAATCTAAAAGCTTATAAAGTAAATGTTCTTATGGTGTATTCAACTAGTAGCTGTGAGTGTGGTCTGGATCACTGTGAGGAGCTGCACTCAGCTTCTACAGGGCATAATTTTCTGTTGAGGAATAATTCAAGTAGACTTCTCCAGGGCACCTGGTTTTATCCTGACTTCGGGTGTAGGTGCAGGTGGTGGTCTCAGGTGGCTCCAGGACATGGCATGATCTGTGGCTTACTGACCCTGGTCTGTCTGCTAGTGGGTAACACTGTCCCGCCACAAGTTAAGATGACAGGAGCACAACAGTGTAGACAGGATCACCATGCACTTGTCTAAATCAGAGCTACTTAAATCTTGAGTCTCACGTAATGGACTCAAAACTTCCCCTCAAAAGTGAATTAATGAACAGAGAAAGAAACCCTAAAAATACAGTTAAAAACAACTATGAAAGTTAATAGGCTGCTCTTGATCCCTGCTGGACCATGACCAGAAATGAATTAATGGCAGGGGCAGGCTCTCAGTTTAACATGTGAAAACATGACATGCTATGCAAATGAATCAAATTAGAAGTGAAAGAGACAGTGCTGTCAACTGTTTATTCAGGCTGTACCAAAGCCCTTAAGAATGGGAAAGGTACCAGAAATAAATACGGCAAGTTGGGAAGTGAGAAGACATGCTTGGCTTGTTGGTTGTATGGTTCATTCAGCAATGAGTTTGGGCATCTTCTGCCAACCACGGCCTAAACAAGCAGTAGCATATTCAAATGCCTGCGGTGGAAATTCAAGTGAAATGAAGAGTGTAAGTCCTCTTTAATGGGGAGTAGATTTCCGCTCATTGTATCTATTAAAGGAGTGTTGAGTCGAGCTGCCAGATCTTCTGGTTTTCCAAGAGAAGCCAAAAGACTAGAAGGGTTTTTTTGTTTTGTTTTGTTTTGTTTTGTTTTGTTTTGTTTTGTTTTTGTAAAATTTCTCAATGTTTGCAACTAAATAATTCGATTTTGTGGGCCAAGCTAAACGTAATCTGTTTAGTGGTGTGCCTTCTCTGGCTCAGGCAGTGTAAGCCTGATTGTGCTCTTAGTGCAGAGACAGAACATCAATATCTGTTATCCAAGCTCGAAAGCAATAATGCCTAGAGTCATGTAAATGCCAAAGACCCGAGGCAGGGGCGATGAGAGGAACAATGCACGCACGAAGTGGCATTGATCTGGACCCTGGGACACAGGTAGGATTTAGAGGTGGGTCAGTGCCTCCTGCCCAGAGTGGGGAAATACAGGTTGTTTATTTTGAGTAGCAAATAGTTCAGTGTGTTAGCAGCTGCAGGCTGTGGAAATCTTTCAAGTATGGAAAGAATAAACAAAAGCCCTCCCCATAATCTGCATGATCTCCCATAAACACGCAAAACCTCCCCAGGTGAATTATACAGTGTAGGTTTAAAAGAGAATATGGATTTTTTCCCAGCTTTAGTGAGATGTGATTGACAAATAAAAAATGTATACATTTAAGGCATACTATGTGATGATTAAACGCATGTATACATCACGAAACGATTACCACAATCAAGCTAATTGACATATCCATTACCTCACATAGTTACCTTTCTGTGTGTGATAAGAACACTTAACATCTACCCTCTTAGCAAATTTCAAGTATATAACACATTCACGCATCGCTTGATGATGGAAATATGTTCTGAGAAATGCATCATTAAGAGATTTCATTGTAGTGCGAACATCGTGGAGTGCACTCACACAAACCTGCGTGGGAAGCCTATGACACACCTAGGCTATGTAGTATGGCCTATTGCTCCTAGGCAACAAACCTGTACACCATGTTTCTGTACTTAATACCATAGGCAATTGTAACACAATGGTAAGTATTTGTGTATCTAAACATAGCTAAACTTAGACAAGGTACAGGAAAATGCTATAAAAAAGACCAAAAAAATGATACGCCTGTACAGGGCACTCAGCATGAATGAAGTTTGCAGGGTTGAAGGTTGCTATGGGTGACTCAGTGAGGGAGTGGTAAGTCACTGTGGAGGCCTAGGCCAATACTGTACACTACTGTAGGCTACAAACACTGTATACTTAGGCTACACTATATTTCTTTTTTTTTTTTTTTTTTTTTGAGACGGAGTCTCACTCTGTCGCCCAGGCTGGAGTGCAGTGGTGCAATCTCGGCTCACTGAAAGCTCCACCTCCCAGGTTTATGCCATTGTCCTGCCTCAGCCTCCCAAGTAGCTGGGACTACAGGTGCCCGCCACCTCGCCTGGCTAGTTTTTTGTATTTTTTAGTAGAGACGGGGTTTCACCATGTTAGCTAGGATGGTCTCGATCTCCTGACCTCGTGATCTGCCCGTCTGGGCCTCCCAAAGTGCTGGGATTACAGGCTTGAGCCACCGCATCTGGCCTACACTATATTTCTTTAACGTTCTTAGCAAACTTTTTTACTTTATTAACTTTTAAATTTAAAAAAAATTTTTGACTCTTTTGTCATAACACTTAGCTTAAAACACATATTGTACAGCTGTCCAAAAGTATTTTCTTTCTTTATATCCTTATTTTGTAAGCTTTTTTCTATTTTTTAATTTTGAGAACTTTTTTGTTAAAAACTAAAACACAAACACACACCTTAGCCTAGACATACACAGGGTCAAGATCATTAATATCATTGTCTTCCACCTCCAAATCCTGTCCCACTGGAAGGTCTTCAGGGACAATAGCATGCATGGAGCTGTCACCTCCTATGATAACAACGCCTGCTTCTGGAATAGCTCCTGAAGGATCTGCCTGAGGCTGTTGTACAGTAAGCTTTTTTGTGTGTAGAAGCAGAACACTCCAAAATAATAAAAAGTATAATACAGTAAATATATAAACCAGTAACCTTGTCATTTATTATCATCATCAAATATTACGTTGTGTATGTGCTATACTTTCATGTAACTGGCAGTGCAGCAGGTTTGTTGACACTAGCGTCATCTCAAACACATGAGCGATGTGTTGTCTATGACATTAGGACAGTTACAAGGTCACTAGGTGATGGGAAATTTTCAGTTCCCTTATAATCCTATGAGAACTGCCATCATATATCTGGTCCATTGTTGATCAAAATGTTGTTATGCAGTGCATGACTGTACATTAATGTTAACTGTAGTCACCATATTGTACCTCAGATCCCTAGAACAGATTTACACTGTCTAACTGAAACTACCCTCTGACAAACATCTCCCTACTTTCTCCACCTCCCAGCTCCTGGTAACCACCATTCTGCACTGCATCCATGAGCTCAACTTTTTTAGATTCCACATATAATATATTATGCAGCATTTGTCTTTGTTTGGTTTACTTTATTCAACATAATGTCCTCTAGCTTCATCCATGTTGTCAGAGATGGCAGGATCAGGCCTGGTGCAGTGGTTCACGCCTGTAATTCCAGCACTTTGGGAGACTGAGGTGGGCAGATCATGAGGTCAGGAGTTCAAGAGCAGCCTGGCTAACATGGTGAAACCCCGTCTCTACTAAAAATACAAAACATTAACCAGGTGTGATGGCGCATACCTGTATTTGGATTTTCTCTCTTCTTTTCTTGGTTAATCTTGGTGATGATCTATCGATTTCATTTATCTTTTCAAAGAACCAACTTTTTGTTTCATTTATCTTTTGTATTTTTTTATTCACTTGCAAAGATTTTAATTAGAAAAGATTTTAATTTTTTAAAAAAGTGTTTTAAAAAACAGTTAGCAGAATTATACTTTGTGGGCCATACAGGTTATTGGTTCAGATTAATGTAATCAGGCCTTATAAGATTTGTTTTCTGTGTTCCATTCTAAAGAGCATAAATATTAAATGCCTCTAAAATACACTTCATTCAAAATGGTTTAATTACAAAACACAATTTGAGCACAAAACAATGCATTATGGTCTCATGGATACAGGTTGGATACAGGTCTCATGGATACAGTTACAAAACACTGTAATGAAAAATTAACAGCCTCAAGTAGATAATACTGTACAACCCTTGCTCAACAAATGACATTTTAAACACAGGGAGAAAAAGCCCGAACGATGTCAATTAGTGTTGTTCTTTTAGGTATATTGAATATGATTAAAGAAGTTGTTTTCAAATTCTTAGTAGTGGTATTAAAATTAAGTTACTTTCTAAACTATATTAAAAACAGCACTAAGTCTTCAAAGAACTTAAGTTGTTAAAAAAAAACTTTGACTTCCCAGCTGGCAATATGACCAAAATATACAATAATGCAAATCACAAGTGACGGCACAGAGATGCCACTGAACATTTCACATTTCGTATGGATCTAGGACGGTGTTCATTGGTACATACGTGCCATAAACTGGACTTTCTTGGCTCAATGACACGTGTAGAAAATCATGATTCTTATAAGAATCTCTCATAAAGTCCAAGAACAAACCTATTTGACCAAAAAATCTAAACTGTGCACTTTTGTTTCTTAATAAAAAAAGTGTAAACCAGGTTTTTAACCTAATAAGAGAAAATCCATTTTTAAAAGTCTCATAGCTGTATCCATCTTCCTGTTCAGCTGAACGGATGAAGCACAATAGCCACAATTTTGTTACAGACTAAAGTCCAACAGGTAATTCCAACACCACCTGCTATTCTAGTAGGAAAGGCTACCAGGTGGTCTGGAGGGGTTATCCATTTTCTCTGGACAACAGCCACGGGGACAGAATAATACTTCCAAATGAGTGAGATCATCAGGGCAACCTGCAATACATAGAAAGTGACACTTGTCATCCATTTTATCTTGGCTAATTGAGTTGTCTGAGCTTTCACGTGGGTTTTGAGCTTATCCATCATCTTGTTGATCTTTCTTTCTAGCATGGCATAGCTGGCAAACTCCTCCATCATGTTGACCATGGAGAGTTCCTACCTGGACCTTGGAGAGATCCTGCGTGGATCTCCGTTCTCATCTGTGACTCCTGCTCTGCGTCTGCCTGCAGCACCCTGGACATGAATGATGAGAAGGACAGGAGGAGGATCCTAAGAACATCGCACCCAAACAGGAAGCTGAGCACCAGCAACCACGCCCAGTGGTTGGCCACTGTTTGTGTTTGTTGGACTCCTGCTGAGAGGTGGCGCTTTCCAGAGAGCATCAGCTGTGGTAGTATGGAGAGGAACTGGCAGTGGGCAGGGCCCTAGAACTTCCAAGAGTATATGCCATTTGTCTTCAGCTACCAAGGTGGATAGGGAAGGCCCATCAGGTAAGATCAGGGCAGGGCATGTCTGAGCTCAGACTTTCCTTGGATGGGTCTTGCTGTGGCTGCTGTAGGGGATGGGGCTGAGGTTCCCAGGTCAATGGAGTTGTGTACCTAGGAGGATTATGGCTGTCTCTGCTTAGTCATGCGGGTTGTCAAGGAAGTGGAGAAAAGCCAGCAGTCACAGGTCTCACCCAGCTCCCACTCAAACCAAAGGGCCAGTCTCACTCCCACTGTGACCCTTCTAATAGCCCCGAGTCTGTTTCCAGGCAGTGGGCAGCAGGGCTTGAGAACTTGTCCCAGGCTACCCACTTCCCAGCTGCAAAAGATAAGGGCTTGGTTCTTCCCCCACCTGTGGAGTCTGCACACCGGATTCATGCCCTCCCCTGAGTTCTGGCCGGGAGGCTTCTCGCCTGGTTCAAATTGCTACAAAGTTCAGCTGGAGACTTTCTTCTCCCTGTGGCATTTTTCCCTGCGCCTCTGGCTGTCCTCCTGAAGGATCGCTGTGTTGCCAGGCCTGAATGGCCTGCTTGGAGACCCAGAGAGCTCCTAGGGCCTTATCCTGCTGCTTCCTCTGCCCCTGTATTTCACTCTGCTCTCTAATTTTTTTTTTCCTAAGACAGACTCTCGCTCTGTCGCCCAGGCTGGAGTACAGTGGTGAGATCTTGGCTCACTGCACCCTCAGCCTCCTGGGTTCAAGCGATTCTCCTGCCTCAGCCTCCTGAGTAGCTGGGATTATAGGCATGCACCACTATGCCTGGCTAATTTTTGTATTTTTAGTAGAGACAGAGTTTCACCATGTTGGTCAGGCTGATCTCGAACTCCTGGCCTCGTGATCTGCCCACCTCAGTCTCCCAAAGTGCTGGGATTATAGGCATGAGCCACCATGCCCGGCCTCCTCTCTGAATTGACTCAGCTCCAGGTAAGATCAAAAACTTCTCCCACATACAGACCTTCAGTTTCCCCAGTGCGGGTGTGTGGAGCATCTCTTTTTTCTACTTCAGCCGTTGGGGCACTTACAGTATTTTGGGTGTCTCCCAGGTCCTGCAGGAGCAATTGACTTCTTTCAGAGGATCTGTGGGTGCGCTCAGGATGCCTGGTTTCAAGAACATGATTTCATTCTCATTGACTAATAGACTGGCTACCTGCAATAAAATTCAGTTTTAATTATTTTTTCAATATGACAAGTTCAAAGAAGGTTGTACTTTCTGGTACATTTAGAATTTTCCTGTTTTCTACAACATAATTATACTATGAATTCATTTAAAACACAGCAGCCTAGCTTTTATTCTTATATGTAAAATTAGGATATAACTTATAATGTTTTAAATATTATTTTCTTTGAGAAAGAAAACCAGTACCATCCAAATTGATGAAATTGGTGACTATGCCAAGAACACATCCCTTCCAATTAATTGAAAAGTTGATGAGCCCTTAGTGCTGACGTCTCTGAGCAACTTACAAAGTAAGGAAAAGGAATTTTACCATTTGTACCTTTTTTCAGCCACATTTCTCTCTCCCAATGACCCGTAGAGTGTCCCCAAGTTCTCCAGGGCCATGTGATGACTTGGGCTCAGTTGGATGGCCTATCAGTGATGGGCCATGACCTTTTCTGAATGTCCTCTAACCATTTATAGGCTGGTAAGAACAAAACACTCCTTGTTTATAAAACACTTATGCAAGATAATCTTCCCCAGTGATTTGTAAGCAACATAATGCAAGTTAAAAGTTACACAAATTAAGTAATTAAAACTATAATAGACCTTAAGAGAGTGATTAATCTAATCTTCTTCTTTCTACCTCAACAACAAAGACAATTAAACTTTCAAATCAACCCACTATCCACTCTATTTATCTTGCCGGCAATATACTTTGTCTTTGCCTTTGTTTTTTCATACTTATGAAGTTTCTCCAATTCCTCCCCTGACACCTGCTATCTATAGGTTTGTCTGTCTGGTATCTCATCTCCAGCCAATCAAACTTGTATTCTAAAGCAGACTGCCTAAAAGAATTACTGTGCAAAGAATAATCATTCCATTAGGGAAAATGTATACCTGATCCAGTTATCCAAGTTCAGAAATCTTACTTGGAAACTACTTGAAGAAAGTTATCTAGAGAAAAGAGACCTGATTCTACTTCTTGCTCTGAAGCACTCTTGCCCTAGGATCTTTGCCAATGTATTTAATCTCTTTGTGCTTTAGCTTCTAAGTCTGTAAAGTGGTCATTTTGTCTATTTGTTTTTATTTCTATAAATCAAAGGGGTTTTAGGTAGCTAATTAAAATACTTGCCAGGATCACATGAGATCATGTAAGCAAGCATCTTAATCCATGTACAGAACTAGACAAATACAAGGTAATGTTGTTATTAGTATATGGTTAAAGTCCTGTTCAAGTAAATATCATTAAAATAAAACTGTATCTTTAAAAAAAAACAGTTCAAGCTCTAACTGATAATATTTATTCAAAGCAATATCTTCAAAGTGTAGTAATTAAGAAAGACCTTGAGAAATCGCTACAGGATAATTTTCTTTTTGCAATAGTCAATTATTTTATTCCTCTTATAAGATACAGAGATATTTGAATAAATAAGTGTTCCTGATCACCTCAAAATGTCACATTAGCTAGTATATTGGGCCACAAAAATTTTTTACTAAGACACCTCAAAAAGCAAAAGAAAGAGGTTTTAATATTATGATATTATATACCAATATAATACATATGTACAATAATGTATAATTAGGTACAGTTTTATTATACATAAAAATTAACATCATTACTGTCATTGCTTACTATTATTCTCTTTGTGAATAGAAATAAATAATGAAATGGTCCCAAGTTACGCAATGGCAAAGGGAAAAATTTTTAAAGCATGCTAAATTACAAACTGAAGAATTGATCATATGAGTCTGTAATAATGAAGAAGCACCATATGTCAGAAGAGTGATTGAAGAACTTAAGTGTCATATAAATATGGAGTGTTTTGTACTTACCAGCCTATAAATGATTAGAGGGGATCCAGGGAAGGTCGTGGCCCATCACTGATAGGCCATCCAACTGAGCCCAAGTCATCACATGGCCCTGGAGAACTTGGGGAAACTCTAGAGGTCACTGGGAGAGAGAAACGTGACTGAAAAAATGGTACAAATGGTCCCTTTTCCTTACTTTGTAAGTTGCTCAGAGACTTCAGCACTAACGGCCCATCAACCTTTCAATAAATTGGAAAGGATGTATTCTTAGGATACTCACCAATTTCATCAATTTGGATGGTACTGATTTTCTTTCTCAAAGAAAATAATATTTAAAACATCATAAGTGACATCCTAATCAAGAACTGGTTAGAACATGAGGTTAATGAGCCAAACGTGGAATTAATTCCCATGGAAACTAGTAACTTTAGCAATGCAAGTGGATGAAGGACTGTGCAGAGGACAGAGCAAGTCTATTTTCTTGGAGAGAGTGATTCTTGGGCTCAGGCCTCACGTTGGTGTCTTAGTAGAAGGAGGCATTGGTTTATACACCGGGAGGCATCTGACCTTTTTTTAAAAAAAAAAACTTTTTCTTGATATAATCTCAAAGGCCATGTTGGCACAAGATCCAAGCCTCCCTACTTCTAAATTTAGACATTTTGGAAATGTACCTTTTTAAAAAATAAAGTGTATGATGCTCTGTTCTTAAAACTGAGCAAGTGGCCCACAAAGGGGGATACTATCACCCTTCGGAGTGCTATATTACAACACCAATGGTGCAGAGAAGCTATGCACATGTTTTTGGGAAGCTGCAACTCTTCAACCTTCCCACAGGGAATTCTGCCTGGCATTAGTAAGTAGAATACCAAAAAAAAAAAAAAAAAAAGTAAAAGGGACCAAGGAAAATGAGCATGGCATGTAACATAGGAAGGCTTTGATAATCCTCAAAATGGAACCAGAGTATCAATAGTCCGTCGATGTTGTAAGTACAGTTAACCCTTGAACAACATGGGTTTGAACTGCTGGGCTTACTTATCTGTAGATTTTCTCCTGCCTCCTGCTGCTGAGACAGCAGGATGAACCCCTCCTCTTCCTCCTCCTCCTTAGCCTATTCAATGTGAAGAAGATGAGGATAGAGACCTTTACGATGATCCACTTCCGCTTAATGAATAGTAAACATATTTCTCTTCTTTATGATTTTCTTAATAATATTTCTTTTTCTCTAGTTTACTTTGTTGGAAGAATAGACTGCATAATACATAGACAAAATATGTGTTGATCAACTGTTTATGTTATCAGTAAGGCTTCCAATCAACAGTAGGCTATTAGTAAAATTTTGGAGGAGTCCAAGGTTATACACAAATTTTCAACTGTATGGGAGTGGGCACCCCTAACCTCTGTGTTGTTCAAGGGTCAACTGTGGGCACCCCTAACCTCTGTGTTGTTCAAGGGTCAACTGTATCAAGATGACCCCCAGGTCAGATCCACTTACCAAAGTCATAGTTACAAAAAAAATTTAAAAAGCTTTATCTCACAAAAGTCTCTTAAAATAAGTTCTTACTTCTTACTGGAAATGTAATTCATGAAATTTTTCTGACAAACACATTGTTGAGTTAAAAACATAAGAAATCTTTCAACAATATGGCTCTGGGTCATGATTTGATATATTTAGTCAACGTTTTGTTTAAAAGAACAAATCATTTCTGTGGTTTCTTTTAGCCATCTCTGCTAGTCACATATGCATACATAAACATACACGCGCGCACGCACACACACACACACACACACTCTCAACTATAAACTATGATACATGCAGCCCTAGCTATGTGTCACTAAATAAATGCTGAAACTTTTTGCCAGGAGAACAAATAC